TGTCTTGCTCTGTCGCCCAGGCTGGAGTGCAGTGACGTGATCTCCACTCACTGCAACCTTCACCTCAGCCTCCTGGGTCCTGGGACTACAGATGTGCACCGCCACACCCAGCTCTTATTTTTTAATTTGTTTTTTTTCTAGATGGAGTCTCTGTGTTGCCCAGGCTGGAGTGCAGTGGTGCGATCTCAGCTCACTGCAACCTCCACCTTCTGGGTTCAAGTGATTCACCTGCCTCAGCCTCCTGAGTGGCCGGGATTACAAGCATGTGCCACCATGCCAGCTAATTTTTATTTTTTAGTAGAGACAGGGTTTAAGCATGTTGGTCAGGCTGGTCTCGAACTCCTGAGCTGAGATGATCTGCCCGCCTCAGCGCCCCCACAGTGCCTCTGTGTTTTTTGTAGAGACGGCGTCTCTTCATGTTGCCTGATTTTGAACTCCTGATATTCTCTTGCCATGCCTCGCAACTAAGTTCTTTAATGAGTAAGACTTGATTATGAGGTTTTTCCATTCTTGGAGGAGGCCTGGCCAAGGCTGCTGAAGGTACAGAAGCGGGAGAGGCTCCACTAGGACCCGGGAAGGGCGGGGCCTCACCCCCAGTCACATCTGGAGCAGGGGCGGTGCTGGCATGGAACGCAGTCCTGTTCCGCTTGTGCCTGTGCTCCCACGCCCATGGGTCCCTCTGTGGGGTGCCAGGTCTTGGGGAGACTGTTCTGTGCGGGGGAATGGAGTCTGCTGGCACTGGTGCCCATCTCACTTTTACGTTGGGAGCTGGTCGTTGGGGGCCGCCTTTACAGACATGCTTCCTATAGCACGGCATGGTGGTACGCGTCTCTGGTCCTAGCTACTCGGGAGGCTGAGGAGGGAGGATAGCTTGAGCCCAGGAGGTGGAGGCTGCAGGGAGCTGTGATCAAACTACCGCACTCCAGCCTGGGCGACAGAGCAAGAGACCCTGTCTCCAAAAAAGAGTGCTTCCAGGTAGCGCATGCCGCTGCCTCGAGTGCTTCTCCCCAGCTTGGTCTCCTCCCACACTGCCCCTGGGTAGGGAGCTCACTCCACTGGGCAGGTGGGGCTGGAACTTAGAGCAGGCTGAAAGACAACATTTGATGTGGGCTCTGGACTTGTGAGACTAACTGGAATTACATGTATCTAAAGCTTTTACTAAGAAAATTTGAAAATAAAAATAATGGCCCAGGAAAAAAAAATACAACACACTTGTACAGGATCCTCTCATTGGAAGGGTCCTGTACTTGTGTGTTGATCAATGAATGACCCTCCACCATATCCCACACAGGATGGGGCTCTCAGAAGTCAGGGGCTGTGGGGGCACAGAGAGGAAAGAGAGGGCAGTGTACCCCATGCAGGACTGGGCAGAGAGAGGGGCTCCAGGTGGGAAGCCCCGTCCACACCTGCCATCCCCTGAAACATTCCGTTGCACCTGCAGAGTCCCTGCTGCCATGCGACGTGGCCTCAGCACAGGTCCCGGGGTCAGCATCCCATACCCCTGGCTGCGCGGATGTCTGCCCTGCGGCAGTCGTGTCTACATGGTGAGTTACCTGCCAGCTGCACGGGGCCTGGGAAGCTGCTAGTGCCAGGCGACACGCGTGGAGCCACCGGTGGTGGCTGATCTACCCCGAGGAGGCCCTAGGGCAGAGGACTGATCTCCCTCTGGCCTCGTATTTGCTGAACTTGAACAAGTTCCTCACCGCTTGGCGCCGGGACTCCTGGAGTCTTAGCAGCAGCTCCCCCACCCCCCCACACTGAAGCTGTGTTTGGGTCCTGCCTGGCTTTTGTTGTGCTAAAGGGTCCAGGCTACTGTCTGGGCACTGTTGTCTGTGAAGCAGATGTTTCCATCTGTCCTCCCCAGCCATGGCCATGGCTAATCTCCTCTGTGGCTGCACACAGCACCCCTGCATGGCCTGGACCACACTGCAGTTCTGATGGAGACAGCCCCCAGGAGCCCCTGCCCCCAGAGTGGGTTTTCCATGCTACAGTTCTGCCTTTGCCAGTGGTCCCTGCTCCAAGGTTTCCTTTCTATAAGTGCGGGTGGATCTGTGTAGATTCCTTTCATCTACAAATTGGTCCCGGGTCGGAGGGGGGCCCACACCCACAGCTCTCCTGGCTCTCAGGATCTGCATAGATTCCCCCTTCATCTGTGAATCAGTCCTGGGCAGCCCACACCTGCAGCTCTCCTGGGGCTCAGGTCTCTATAGCCCCTCTGGCTCCAGGCTCGGGAAATTGTTCCCCAGAGGCTGTCTGTATTGGGGACAGATGCTGAGGCTTCTCCTTGTTCTGGGATGGTCCGTGCTGCCTCAGGAGTAGTTAGGCGTGGTGGGGACACGTGGGCCTTCGGGGCTGCAGGAGGTGGCTGCGCTCTGTGGAGAACCGGTGAGGACTGTGGGTGGGGAGAGGCCGGCCCTGGGCAGGGGAGAAGGGGGTGGGGAGGAGGCTGGTGATGTGACCTGGCCTTGGGAGCGGCAGGCTGGAAGGAGGGAGAACCACCGGTTCTCCACTGCTCTGTGGCTGCCTGGACTGCCCTATGCATTGGGCTGGGCCTTCTGTGTGGCCGTGGGCATTGCTGCCCCGCACTCCGCCTTCGTGTCCTCATCTGCACAGGCAGTGAGGCTGGCACCCCGTCCATGAGGCCTTGCAGAGGGGACGTGAGATAAGCCGCGAAAACCCACTAACACGGGACTTTGGGCTGCATGCTCCTGTCCCTCAGAGCCTGACTGGCTCCACGCGGCCGAACCAGGGACCCCTTGTGTCCTGTGACTGCAGGCCCAGGCAGCACTGCCTGTGGGCTCTTGCAGAAGCAGCAGCTGTGTGGTAGACCTTATCTCCAGCTCCAGGCCGGGAGCTAGTCGGAGGCCGCCTGGGGCTGTGGAGGTGGCTCAGGCTGACCATCTCAGTATCTCAGGACAGGGTGGTTGGTGCCTGGGATGACAGGAGCAGCGGCAAACCCTCGTAGGTGTGTCCCCACCTGCTGACTCAAGCCAGTGCATGCCTCGGGTGTCTCGTTTCCTAGAAAGGCGGGTCTCTGTGAATCGGCCTCCTCCAGCACCCTCCCAGACCCTCACGTGGCCCTTTGTGCCTGGCATCTCTCATGGGGTATGACGTCCTCTTGGCGCGTTCACGCTGTGGCCTGGGTCAGAGCCTCGCTCCTTTTCGTGGCTGGGTCATGTTGCGGCGTGTGGAGGGTTGCACTGGTTCGTGCCTCACTTGCTGATGGGCACGTAGGATTTTGCTGTCTTGGCCGTTGTGAACTGTGGGTCTGTGTCTTTCCCTTTCCCCTGGGTGTGATTGTGGGAAGTGCTGGGTCACGTGGTGACTGGGTTTCTCTTACTTTGACATAACTGTACCGTCATTTAAAGTCAGGAGCAGTACCGGACAAAACTTTCCTCACTGACAACAACTGTGTTTAACCTTTGAGGAACTTCCTGCGAAAGAAGTCACCAGGGGCTGGGGAGAGGGATGGGAGTGAGTGGGAAGATAAGAAGGCTCTAGAGATGATCGTGGTGGCGGTTCGCAGCCATGGAATGTGCTAAACGACACTGAACTGTATGCTTTTTTTTTTTTTTTTGGAGACGGAGTCCCACTCTGTTGCCCAGGCTGGAGTGCAACGGCATGATCTTGGCTCACTGCAACCTCCACCTCCCAGGTTCAAGGAATTCTCCTGCCTCAGCCTCCCGAGTAGCTGGGATTACAGGCCTGTGCACCTGGCTAATTTTTTGTATTCTTAGTGGAGATGAGATTTTTCCATGTTGGTCAGGGTGGTCTTGAACTCCCAACTTGAGGTGATCCACCCGTCTTGGCGTCCCAAAATGCTGGGATTACAGGCATGAGCCACCATGCTCAGCCAGAACTGCATACTTAAATGTGGTCAAGATGGTAAACTCCAGGTGTTTTTTTTTTTTTTTTTACTTTTTTAAATTTTTGAGACAGTGGCTTGCTGTGTCACCCAGGCTGGAGTGTAGTGGCATGATCATAGCTTATTGCAGCCTCAAACTCCCAGCCTCAAGTGATCCTCCCGCCTCAGCCTCCCCAAGTAGCTGGGACCACAGATGCATGCCACCACACTTGAGCTCAGGAGGCTGAAGCTATTGTGACCTGTGATGTGCCACGGCATTACAGCCTGGGCGACAGAGCAAGACCCTGTCTAAAAAAAGAACCAGTGTGGCTACAGACCGCAGCCCGCGTATGGCCTTGGGCTGTGGTTTGCTGGCCCTGATGGAAAGAGCGTTGTTTCTTGGCTACCCTCTGTCTTTGTTGCTCACAGGGGCTTTCACTTTGTTCTCGTGCAAAGCCCCTTCTTGCCTCGGGCTGTGCATCTCCCTCTGGAACGTTCTTGGCCAGTCTCCTCACTGCCACTCTCTTCTAGGCTTCAACATAAATGCTACCACCTCAGAGGGGCCTTTCTGGTTTGACTGAGCCTGGTCCACTGTGGGGTCTGCACGGATCCCTGGATGTTACTTTGGTTGTAGCTGAGCATGGAATGTGGCTTGTCCACTGGAGGCTGATGTCCCCGAGCCGTGGCCTGGTCTCCCTGGGCCTGGACCCATGTGGCTGGCCTGGGGCCTGTATGTGGCCAGCTCTTGCACACTGCTTCGGAGCTGGTGTGGCTTGTCACACCTCCTTGCATGCACATGCACATGTAGCTCAGGAACCTGGGTCCCCGTGGCGCCTTGGGACTTCAAGGCTGCCCACACCCTGGGAAGAGTCCTTGTGGGAACCGCCGGGACTCCAGCCCCCACCTCCCTCCTGGGACCTCCAGGGCAGAAAGCCCCCTTCCTGGGCAGGTGTACAGGCTGGTAGGGTCCATGAGCAGCAGCTGGGGCCAGGCTGAGGGGAGCCTCACCCAGGATGAGGCCGGGCTGGCAGGAGGTCCCTGCAGAGGAGCCAGGAGGAGCCCACCGTCACTCTGGCTCCTAGGGCCTGGAGGTGCAGCCAGGCCCCTGGAGCAGCCGCGCCTGCCCCACTGACCTTTCCTGCCCTTCCTGCTGCAGGCTGACCTTGCTGTGGGCCGAGCCCTGCCTCGCCATGGACCAGGACTATGAGCGGCGCCTGCTCCGCCAGATTGTCATCCAGAACGAGAACACGATGCCCCGTGTGAGTGCCCCCACCCCGCCTACTACTGCAGCTCCCCTCCCCCAGCTGCGTCTGCCCTGGCCAGCAGCCTCAGGAGCCCCCACTGTCATAGGCTGGAGCCCCACAGACCACTCAGTTCCCAGTCCCCCAGGTCACACGGGGCCTCCGCCTCCCAGGGTGTCAGGGCTGCCGCCATCCCCAGGGCCGTACTCAGAGCCCAGCGGGGCTTGGAGGGACGGGGAGGCAAAAGGCCCGTAGGGTGGAGCTGGGGTTGCCCCATGAGCAGAGCCCAGGGTGGTCTGCAGAGCCCTGTAGGAGACCCATTCCTGCCTCCTAGCCCCAGGTGAATCTAGAACCTTGTGGGATTTAGGGAGGCCTGGTTTTGTCCTTCCTTGCGCTCCATCCCACCTCCCCAGCCCTGCCATGTTTGCCTTGCCCTGGGCTCTGGGTAGGCCAGTGGCTTGGGGCTGGCGCCTGCTGTGTGACAGCCACATCCCTCACCTGCCTCCCCACCCAACTCCTGTGGGCGTCTCTGGGACCAGACTCCTGTTGTCGTCTACACAAAAGGAAGCCCGGGTCAGAATAGCGTCAGGCTTAGCCTGGTTGGCCACCAGCCCCTGACCTCTGACAGACGCCCGAGCTGTCATTCTCATAGACTCAGCTGCTGTTGTCCTGAGCCCCCTACGCAGGTGGGTCTGAGAGGCACGGGCCTGTGGGGAGGGGCTGCCCCGTCACAGCTCCCTCGGCGCCGGTGCCCTCTGTGCCCAGGCGTTGGGCTGGGCCTGGGCAGACTCACCTTCAAGGCTTAATTCAGCTTCAAACCCCAGAGTCTGGGCCCTGGGACCCACGGGAACCCACCACAGCCCCCTTTCCTTCCGGTGCAGCTCGACCCCGAAGCCCCACAGGACAGAGCTGGGGAGGCAGATCCAGGACTGTGCGTGACGTAGCAGGGTCCCTGTCAGTAGAGGGCCGGGCCACTGTGGAAGAAAAGTAGCGTAGAATTAGAGCGATCTCTGCAGGCTGGGGGGTTTCAGGCAGAGAGGCATAAATACAGGTGTCTGTGTGCTCAGAGAGGGTTTAGGCGCCCCGGCATCCCAGCAGCAGGGAGCAGCCCTAGTGCCAGCCCTCAGCCTCCAGATCACTCTCGGGGCTGCTGGGAAGACGGTGGGGGCCTGAGCATTCTGTGTGCCTGCGGTCCCAGTGATATGTGGGAGGGGTGGTCGAGGTGTGAGGACCCAGCACCCCTCCACCCAGTGCATTTCTAGTTTCACGGGTGCAGTGAGGCCTGGATCTGAATGAGAAATGGGTGAGGAGCGGGCATTTGCAGTGTGGGAGAGCTCCCCACACACCCGTCCTGCCCTGCGGTCACCCAATACAGCCTGGACTTCATGACACAGAACCACTTCAGACCCAGACGGAGTGCTAGGTTGTGGAGAGACCTCCCTGGAACCCTCCGAAGCGTGAGGTCCCTGACAGCGCACAGGCTGGGGGCAGGGAGATGGGACAGCAGACAGAACATGACCCTTCCTGGCCTGGGTTTCCTGGGCCTCCACCAGAGAGGCTACACACGGGGCCCACGCTGCACACTCGAAACCTCTCCCTGTCCTGAGGGGCTGGAGCCAGAGGTCACTGTGTGGGCTGGGCTGCAGTCCCTCTCCAGTCTCCAGGGGAGGGCCCTTCCTGCCTCTCCCAGTACCTGGGAGCTCGTGCTGTCCATGGCTGTGACTGTGTCCCTCCGGCCTCTGCGTCCCTCCCAGGAACATCTCCCTGTGTCTCTCTGTCCATGTTTCCCTTCTTTTTTTTGTTTTTGTTTGTTTTGTTTTTTGATACGGAGCCTCACTCTGTCGCCCAGGCTGCAGTGCAGTGGCGTGATCTCGGCTCACTGCAACCTCCACGTTCTGGGTTCAAGCAATTCTCCTGCCTCAGCCTCCCGAGTAGCTGGGACTATAGGCTCACGCTGCCACGCCCGGCTAATTTTTTGTACTGTAGTAGAGACGGGGTTTCACTGTGTTGCCCAGGCTGCTCATGAACTCCTGAGCTTAGGCTGTCTGCCCGCCTCAGCCTCCCAAGGCGTTGAGATTACAGGTGTGAGCCACTGTGCCCAGCCCGTGTTTCCCTCTTCATATGAGGACAACTGTTATCAATTCAGAGCCCACCCTAATGGCTTCCTCTTAACTTGAGTATAATCACATCTGCAAGAAATTCGTGTCCAAACAGTCTTATTCCCAGTAGCGGGGCTCAGGACTTCACAGTGTCCTTTTTGGGACACCAGTCAGCTTGTAACAGAGCCCTCAAAGAAAAAGGGTGGCGTGGGGATGGTCAGATGGGGTTGGGGGGTTAGACGGGTGTCGGGGACCCATCGTCTTAGCTTCCGGGCAGGAAATGGGGGTAAGGGGGACTATGCTCCCAGGCAGCTCTGGGCACAGCTGTTCCATGTCCTGTGCCGTCAAGGCCTGCATCTGTGATTGTCCAGAAACAATGAACGTGCGGCATCCCCGAAGCGCTGGGAGGGCAGTCGGGGTCTCATCCAGCCCTGCTCCCTGGCTCTGTCTCCTCCGCCGTTGCCCCCATTCCTGCCACCCACACCCCTGTCCTGTGGCCCTGTCCTCTCCACCCTCCTGCCTGGCATAGCTGGGAGGCTGAGCCTGCCTGTGGGCCTGGCACCTTCCAGAAGCTTCTGGCACAGAAATCCCTGACTGAGAGTGACTGTGGCTCCACCCCTTGGGTTTTCAAGATCAAAGCCCCCTTTGCTCGGTGACCAGATGTGGAGAGAGGCTGGCCTGGGGCCACTCTCGGGGCTCTGAGGACTGAGAGCAAGCCCTCCCCTGACGCCCTTCAGGTCACGGAGATGCGGCGGACCCTGACGCCTGCCAGCTCCCCGGTGTCCTCGCCTAGCAAGCACGGAGACCGCTTCATCCCTTCCAGAGCAGGGGCCAATTGGAGCGTGAACTTCCACAGGATCAATGTGAGGGGCCGGCCGGGCAGGAGATGGGACCCCCTGGGAGGCCCAGGGCCCCTCCAAGCCTCCTCACTTCGAGGCTGGGCACGAGCAGGTGCCTCGACTCCTCCCTCCCTCTCTCCTCCCTGCAGGAGAATGAGAAGTCTCCCAGTCAGAACCGGAAAGCCAAGGACGCCACCTCAGACAACGGCAAAGGTGAGGGTCAGAGCCTGCCCACTTGCCCCACAGGCCGCTCCGCCCCACCCCGCCTCACTGTGCTTGGTGCCCACAGACGGCCTGGCCTACTCCGCCCTGCTCAAGAACGAGCTGCTGGGCGCCGGCATCGAGAAGGTTCAGGACCCGCAGACCGAGGACCGCAGGCTGCAGCCTTCCACGCCCGAGAAGAAGGGTCTGTTCACGGTGAGCCCATGGCCCCACCCCAGTGCTGTCTTGCGGTGGCAACCTCCCAGGCACCAGCTCTGCCTCCCCGAGCCTGGTTCTCGTGCCTGGCCATGGCTCAGCACCCTGTCCTGACCCTGCTCCTCAGCCAGGCCAGGGTCCCTGGTTCTCTGGGGCCGAAGGCCGCTGGCCCAGCAGGTAAGCTGGGAAGTGGAGGCACAGGAGGAATCTGGGCTCAGCCTCTTGGGCTTTTTCTCCCCACACCGATGCTACCTGGGGTCCCAAATACCGAAGCCGGTGGGGGTCCTGCCCCAGGGAGGCAGCACTGGGTCCTGCCACAGAGCCCTGTTCTATCCAGAAGATTCCAGAGCCCAAAGGCAGGATCACACAGAGCCCCGCGTGGGTGCCTCAAGAAGGAGGGCAGAAGGGGCCGGGTTCACGGTCCCTGCTGGGAAGGTGCCTTCCTGTTCACAGCTGCTCCAAACGTGGTCTCAGTGCCTGCTTTAGGGCTGTGAGCAGTACCAGGAGCGTGGGGGTCCGGCTTGGAGGGTCCCAGGGCCTGGGCATCCGCTCAGCCGGTGTGTTGCCTGCTCCCCAGTATTCCCTCAGCACCAAGCGCTCAAGCCCCGACGACGGCAACGATGTGTCGCCGTATTCCTTGTCTCCCGTCAGCAATAAGAGGTGAGTACAGGGTTCCTCAGCACCAAGTGTCCCTGTGGGGCCTGGTGGGCGGGGCTGAAGGGGGCTTCCCCAGGGCATGGTGGCCTGGAGCTGTGACTGTGTCCTCCCCCAGGGTCCTGATAGTGGAGGGGGCCCAACCCCCTATTAGCCATAGTTAGTAATAGAAGTGTACGCCAGGCCAGAGCGGCCCAGAGACCCCCTCACAGAAAACACACCGTGGCTGGCAGTGTTGGCCTCAGACAGGGGTCAGGGCAGTCAGGAAGGGCTGCCTGGAGGAGGTGTGGGCAGCAGGGCCAGCACAGCTATGAGAGGGAGCCCAGGAGAGCCAGAGACCTGAGGGGGAAGGGCTATGGGGCCGTCCCCGGGTTTAGGATCACATGGTGGCGGCAGTGATTGGAGGGGCTGGACCAGGCTCGTGGGGCTGGCAGGGGAGTAGATACTTTCTGTGCGTTTGCAAGAAGTGACCCAAGTGCAGTGGCTGACGGATGCCACGTGGCCACCTCTGCAGTCAGAAGCTGCTCCGGTCTCCACGGAAACCCACCCGCAAGATCTCCAAGATCCCCTTCAAGGTGCTGGACGCACCCGAGCTGCAGGACGACTTCTACCTGAACCTGGTGGACTGGTCGTCCCTCAACGTGCTCAGCGTGGGGCTGGGCACCTGTGTGTACCTGTGGAGTGCCTGCACCAGCCAGGTGGGTGCTGTGTACCGTGTGCATGTGCACAGTGGCCTCCCCAGCTCCCAGTGGCCCTCAGTATACCAATCAGGATCTGGGGAGCATCAGTACAAGCTAGGCACCCACTTTGGCCCTCCCAGCCCCCACGGCCCTTCTAGGCACTGCCCTCCCAGCTCTCCCAGCCACAGCCCTCCCAGCCACGGCCCTCCTAGGCACTGCCCTCCCAGCCATGGCCCTCCTAGGCTCTGCCCTCCCAGCTCTCCCAGCCCTCCCAGGCATGGCCCTCCCAGCTCTCCCAGCCCTCCCAGCCATGGCCCCCCTAGGCACTGCCCTCCCAGCTCTCCCAGCCACGGCCCTCCCAGCCATGGCCCTCCTAGGCACTGCCCTCCCAGCTCTCCCAGCCACAGCCCTCCCAGCCATGGCCCTCCTAGGCACTGCCCTCCCAGCTCTCCCAGCCCTCCCAGGCATGGCCCTCCCAGCCCTCCCAGCCACGGCCCTCCGAGCCATGGCCCTCCTAGGCACTGCCCTCCCAGCCCTCCCGGCCCTCCCAGCCATGGCCCTCCTAGGCACTGCCCTCCCAGCTCTCCCAGCCCTCCCAGGCATGGCCCTCCCAGCCCTAACAGGCACTGCCCTCCCAGCCACAGCTCTCCCCTCCAGTGGTGGCATCTGCAGCAGCATGGGGTCCCCGCTGGAGCCACAGTCTCCTTACTGCACCCCTCTGGGTCCCATCCTCACCATGTTGGTGTCCCCTCTTGGTAGCAGGCGCCCCACAGCACTGGAAATCTTCCTCCCATCTTAAGCTTGTCCCATGCAGTCCTGTGTCTCCTGCACCTGTGCCTTTTTTCCACACCCAGCTTGAGCCAGCAGGGTCCCAGCAGTGACCAACCCAGGCAGCCCCCGGGCCTGGAGTGATGAATGAGTGGGTGGAGAGTGGATGCAGAGTGGATGGGAGAGTGGGTGGAGAGAGAGTGGGTGGAAGTGGGGGGAGAGTGGGTGGAAGTGGGGGGAGAGTGGGTGGGA